ATTAGAACAAATCCCTCTATTCATTAAGAGAATGTAACTATATATCTATCCTAACCACTTTGAATACACAGATACAAAATGGACATTCATCTGTATCCCTTTTTTTTTTGTTTAGTTCTGTCATTTGAATATTATAGGTGTGTTAACTCAGCAAAATATTCTAAAAGAGTCCAGTAGTCCATAACAGTATTGGGTCTTCTGCTTCACTGGCCATGTCAGAAATTGTTGACCTGAGTCCCCTACAGCTCAGCATAACACCATAGCTTTACTTCTTGTACTTCATTTTTATACTTTTTTGCTGGATGGTTAAGACCAAGATAAAGCAAGGCCTATGCAACAAGAGTTGTAGCTTTTGGGTCTGATAAGGTCAGTGAAATCCCCTCAGGATTTATCCTGAGATCCTGTACCTCAGATTGTAGAACATTTGTCAATGTCAGCCATGTGGATGAGTTATGGCCAATGCTTGGCCAATGTGCTCTCTGTGAAAGCCTAAGAGAATGTTTTCTCTACATGTAACTCTCCTTAGGCAAAATCCTACCTTTCTAATTAATTAAGGAAAAGATTTTGGGGGGTCTGCCAGTTAGCCCTGTTGTTTAAGTGCCTGCTTATGCAAATACAGTCAGGTGCAGCATACTGTGGTTAAATCCCCAGATCCTTATGCCTTACCAAACCTGCCCTTAAGACTTACTGAGATAGCAAAAAAGAAAAAGTCCTTAAGAATAAGATTTTGGTATCTGTTTGCCTCAATCCCCAGTTCATGGTGCAGGACTGAGGTGAGGTTATTATTCCAGAACTTGCCAATATTGTTACAGAAGTGAGAAACACTAATTAAAGCAGATATCACATCCTAGTTAAAATAGTATAATTAACAGCATGAAGCACAACTGGAAAACTGTAGCAATAATTCATTTTGTACCTTTAACCACAGAAGAAAAATCTGAAGTTATGTAACAGAATTGATCATAAATTGGGACCTTCCATGCAAAGTACTTTTGTGTGATAGAGTGGTTTACTACTGCCATAAGGAATTTTAAGGAAGTTAGTGGATAGAAGAGAGATAAGTGAGAAGAAATGAAATAACCAGGCTGCAGGAGAAACAGTGATCATACAAACTTTGGGAAGCTAGAGAAGAGGGTAGAAGAAGAGAATGAAGAAGTTAAGTAAGAGATTATTAAAGTTGACCAGAAAGATTAGAGTGACTACTTACTCATATGAATATATGACTAAGTCTAGTGAGGTAAATAGAGGAAAGGAGAAAAGAAGATGAACATACTGGAACAAAAATGTAGGTAAAAGACCCAAAGGGGGTGGGAAACAAGAAAAAGAATGAAAAACAAATCACAAACTGGGAAAACAATAAAAAATAAAATAAAACTCCTCTGGCATTCACTCAGAATCTAAAACTACTGGATAACATCACCACACCTCCAGTAGAGTTTGTGTTAGATGTGAGGCTGATCTTGGCCTCCAGATGGGGGGCTTTGGGCCAGAGTGTTCAGCCAGTGCTTTCCACATGCTCCTTAGAAGCTTCCCTGTTTCTCATGGCAACATCTCTCTCCCAGTTGCTGTGCTGTATTTATTTATTTATTTATTTATTTATTTATTTATTTATTTAGTGGCTGCCACATGTTTTATTTATTTATTTATTTTATTGAGAAACAGATATCAATGAGACACTTTCCAAGTTGATTAATAGGACACTTTCAATCATTAATACGTTGCACATTGTTATCTTCTCAGCAGTCATCCACAGTACAAGAAGCAGCCAGGCTATCCCATCCAAGCAGTGCTACTACAAACCCTCTCACTGAACAAAGTGAAAGCAGACATACATCTATCCTAACTATTTTGTATATACAAATACAAAATGGTCCTATCTCTGTATCCCCCCTCTCCAATTTAGTCCTGGCAGAAATGGATATTTTACTGGCATCTAAATATTATGGATGCTTGAATTTAGCAAAATGATCCAACACAATCCAGTAGTCCACAATAGTAGGGGGTTGTCCGCAGAAGTTGTTGACTAGAGCCTTTTTTAGCTCATCATATTAATACGGCTTTACTTTATATACCTTGTTTTTATACTTTTCTTCTGGCTGGTTAACACCAAGATAAAGGAAGACCTATATACCAAGAAATGTAACTTTTGTATCTGATAAGGTCAGTCAAGTCCCCTCAGGATTTATCCTGTAACCCTGTACTACACTTTGTAGATCCTTTGTCAGTGTCAGCCAGGTGGATGAGTCATAGCCATTGCTTGATCAATTTGCTCTCTGTGAAAGTCTGAGAGAAAGTATTCTCTCCATGAGACTCTCCTTGGGCACACTATACATCATTGATCACATTCCTCTGTGGCTCCATAATCTCGTTGATCAAAAAATTTGGGGCACAACTGAGTTACATGATGTTACAGTATAGGTTCTCCTATGTCCTCAGTCTTCACTGACCTTGAAAGGTTATGACAAAATGCTGGCAGACCTTGCAGCCTTTTCTTTTCTCCAATTTTTGATCAGTAAACTTATGTTCTTAACCCTCCAGAAGAGAAGCTTGTTATTACCCTGCAACATATGCAGTTTGGTTTACCCTAACTATAGGATTATTGAATTTTCGAGGCCTGATTTTCTAAATTCTTGCTTGTCATTGTTGTGCAGGGCCATGCTAATCTCTGTATCATTCCAATTTTAGTATAAGTGCTGCTGAAGTGAGCACATTTTTTCCTTCTTTTTTCTAAATACTAACTTGTTCTTTTGTTGCAGTTTGAGGTGCAGCATAAAATTGTGTATTTGGGTTCATCTATTTTCCCTATGTGAGAGTTTATCATTAGAAATTTCCATCTTAAGACAGGTTTCATTGTATCCTATAGGGTCCAGTAAGTTATGTCTGCATTTTTTTTTTTTTTCAGAACTGTGGATTGAACTCAGGCCCTTGCACTTACCAGGGAAGCACTTATTCCACTGGGACATTTCCCCGGCCCCTACATTTTTGTTTGATTATTAATATCGCTTAATTTTTTCATTAATTTTATCCATGAGCTATTGATTGTTCAAGAGGGTATTATTCTGTTTCCATACATTAATAAAACTTTTGATGTTTCTTTTGTAAATAATTTCCAGCTTCATTGTACAATGATAAGAGAATATGCATGGGATAATTTTAATTTCTTTGCATTTACTTAAGCATGTTTATGTGCTACCACATGATCTATTTTGGAGAATTTTCTGTGTGCAGCTGATAAGAATGTGTATTCTGACACTATTGGGTGGAACTCTCTATAAAGGTCTACTAAGTCCGTTGCTTTACAAGTTTGGTTCAGTTCTGTTATTTCTTTGCTTAGTTTTGCATAGTTGATCTGTTTCTTTGTGTCAATACGATGTTAGAGTCCCCCAGCACAATTATGTTATTGCTCATTAGATTTTTGATGTCTGCTAAGATGTGCCTTATATAAGTGAGTGCTCCTACCTTGGGTACTTATGTAATTATTATCTCTTCCCATTGCAATTTTCCCCTACAAAGTATGTAGTGGTCTTCTTTATCTCTTTTAATCATGCTAGGTTTGAAATTGACTTTATCAGTAACCAGAATAGTTTCCTCTGCTTTATTTTTCTGATTTCCTGTGGTATGTTTTATTGTTTTCCACCCTTTGATGTTTAGTCTACCAATTTCTTTTATAACTAAGTGTGTTTATTATATGTAGCATATTGTTGGATTTTGCTTCTTGATCCACTCTGTCAGTCTGCTGCTTTTGATTGGTAAATTGAAACCATTTATGTTGATGGCTAGAACTGAAATTCAGTGGTTTGTCTTTGATATGTTATTTTCCTACTGTAGGATCCCTACTTTTCTCTTTTGCTTAGTTACTTCCTCTGCTTGGTAGTTCCCTTCTGTTATTTTTGAAATTATGGTCATCTTTGTCTCTTTCTAAAATATCTTTCAGTGCACTTTGTAGATTTGTTTCGGTTGTCATGAATTTTTTCAGTTGTTCCTTGTCACGGAAGAATTTAATGTCTTCATTATATTTGATAGGTAGTTTTTCAGGGTACATCAGTCTGGGTTAAAAGTTGTTTTATTTCAAGTCCTGAAATATCTCACTTCAAGCTCTTCTTGATTTGATGTTGAGAAATCTATCATGATTCTGAAGGACTTTCCATTATAGGTGATCTATTTCTTCTCTCTAACAGGTTTTAATATTCTGCTCTTTTGCTCAATTTCTGGAATCTTGATTATTATGTATCTAGGTAAAGGTTTATTTTTATTATGGCTAGCTTGAATTCTATATGCCTCAGAATGTGTATGTCAGGTTCTTTTCCCATGCTTAGGAACTTTTCTGCTACTACCTCTATTTTTTTTTTTTCTAGTACTGGGGATTGAACTCAGGACCTTGTGCCTGCCAGGCAGGCACTTATTCTACTGAGCTACCTCCCTGGTCCTCTGTTACTACTTCTGTAAACTGTCTTTTTATGTCATTTGTGTTAACTCCAGCTATTCCTTTGATACCTATTAGACTTATATTACTTTTCTTTGTATCATCTTGCAGCCATTGTAATGCTATTTCCTGGTTCCTCATTATTTTTATGAAATCTTTCTTTTTGTGTTCACTAGCTGCAATGCTGTCTTCAGGGTCTGAAATTCTAACTTCTTTGTCTTTCAAGCAGTTTTGCCAGCTTTCAGCTAAATTCTTAATGCTGTGGATATCTGTTGGCAACTGTTTCATGCATTCTAGTTTTCCTGTATTGTTCATTCAATGTTTTGTCATTTTTTTTATTCACTTCTTTTTTAAATCTGTGTCTTCCTTAGATATATTTAAAATTTTTTTTATGATTGTTGTCATTTCCTGAGAGATTATTTCTGATTTGATTTCCTTCATAGCCCAGGGAATTGTTTCTTTACTTCAGTTGCTATCATCTCAGAAATTTCAGATGTGTGACTTCTAAGTTCTTCTGTTGCCATATCTTTTGGTCTTGTTTTAGGTGAGATAAAGGTCTGAGAATGCCTTTTATTCCTTCCTTTTGGTATTTCTTGAAGCTCCTAATGTTCTGCTTGACTCAGTGATGGTAGGGGTGCAGGGTGTGGGTGAGCAAGGCTTGCAGGTAGGGCAGGGTAAGCTCATCAAAGCTCCTGATGTGTGGAGTTCAATGTGGCTTCCACCTCTTTGAAGGAAGGGGGACAAGCCACAGTTCAAGAAGGATCCAATGATGGTGAATGTAGGCCAAAGTTCTGCAAGGGTCTCTTGATGGTGGGTCGGCATAGGATAGGGTTCCCCAAGGCTTCCACAGGTCCCTATGGCAGTCTTCTGGTCACCTGGTTTCAGGTCCTTGCAGCAATCTCCCAAGTCTCGCCAGAGGTCTTCATGCATCTGGGCCCAGTGGAGCTCCAGCGGGATGGCTAGCAGGTGGGGCTACAGCTGCCAAGTCTCCCAGGCAGTCTTCAGGATGAAGATGGGCAGCTGAACCTCTATAAAATACTTGATTATTTAAAAACGGAAAGTAGCAAAACAACACTTCCTGAAAACACCTTTTTAAAAATTGATAGGAATGTTCACAGATAGGATGGTTAAGCTACTTCTGAATAGTATACTGTCTGTACTTGTTAAGGCAGTGAGGGAGGTAGGAAAGAAAAATTATGAAAGATGTTTTGTCAAGCATATGGTAGAAAATTTCACCTTATCTGGTTTTCTTATGTTACATGTATTTTGTTTAACTTTGCTATATTGTATATATGGTGTACGTACTGGGCATATGAGTCCTAATTTTATAATAACTAGTCTTTAGATATTAAAGAGGTTGTCACTGTATGACAAAAGTAGATCTAGTAAACTAACATATTTCATATATTTTGTGTTAAAATTCATAGGAAGGCTGTCTTCTAAAAAGTACTTCTGGAAGTGTAATTATAAAATCACATTGAGTAACACATGTGCCTTTATTACATGGGACAAAGAGGAAGAGACTGGAAGAATGAAGGATTCTAGGCTAGAGTGTTCCTATTTTTATTTATTTACTTATTATTTGCACCAAGGATTGAACTCAGGACCTAGTAGTTGCCAGGCAGGCACTTACATCACTGAGCTATCTCTCAGCCCTAGAGTGCTTCTATTTAGAAGACATGTTCATATATAACCATTGTTACATGTGCACAGTTTATTCAAAACTACTCTATACAGCATATAATGGACAAATTTGAGTCCACATTTGAAATATCTATTCTTTCTAGGTGTTCAGACATGCGCAAAATATATTAAAAGTAGAGACACAAACAACACACTATGGGATATCATTTTGTCAAACTTACTAATAAAATACTGTCTTTAAAAATAAAATGATGAAACCACTAATCTGAGCATATTTGTTCTAGTTCTGAGAGGAATAAGGAAAAGAAAGTACAGAAGGCTCTGTGTCATATGGATGCTCAGATGCATACAGATTGCGGCTGCCACAGAACTCCTGATTGACTATCTCCAGCACAATCAATGATGTTCCAAATCTCCCATCAGGCTTGTAGTGTCCTTGAAGTCAAATGACACCAGTTTCTTAGTGGAAGATGGATATCTACACTTCAAGTTCTTCCATTAGATTCTCCAGAGATTACTCTCAAGATCTCCTAGATTCTAAATCCACCCCAAGAGAATGAGACATTCTATTTCACTCCTGTGTGTAAACTATTAAACAAGTCTACTATAGTAAATCTGATGTTAAGGACCAGCTTTTAGATAACCACGATGCAGATAGCACCCGGGTTTACAAAAAGCCAGACAACCGAGCTGTGACAGTTTTGTAACAATACATCTCATTGATCTTGGTCAAGTCAAAAGAAGATATTATGAGAACACGATCTTACAAAATCTTCCTAACAGGGACAAAGTTACTCATTTTGTCTATATTAGAACAAATACTAGATAAATGCCATCATTATGTACATCTAAAATGTACCAGTAAAATTAAAAAAGTAAAACCAAAAAAATGGTTGAGTAACATGGTGCATGTACCTGACTCTTGACTTCAAACCATACAATTAAAGAGGCCTGGAGTGTATCTAAAAGGAGATTTCTTATTTTTATAGTTTCAGCTTAAAGCCACTTACTCATGAATGTTTCAATTTTTCTTTATATCAAAGTGAAACAAGTCAGACAAACATAAATATTGTGTGATTTCTCATGCATAAGAAACTCAAAATGTATATGTAAAATATAGAAGACTGATAAATAGGAAGTAGAGAGATTTTTTTTCAAATAGATGGGGGAATAAGATATAGAGGGAGGGGCAAAGAGAGGGAAAAAGGTTGGGAAAAATTGAAAGGAAAAAAGCTAAAAATAGAGCTTTTACAAATAGGAAGGGGACCAAAAGTTAGGAGTGGAGAGGGAGAGAAGGGATAGTGAATGAAAAAGAAGAAAAAAAAAAAAGGATTAAGCGTATCACGTGCATGCACCAACTGTCCACAATAAATGAAATATTATGTACTGCTAACACATACTAATAAAAATTAAGAGAAACACACACACACACACACACACACACACACAGAGCCACCAGAGGGGGACTCAATTGCTCAGGTGCGGGAAACTAATTTTTATTTCTTTTTAAATTGTGCTTTATTCCTGAATGGCCTGGCAGAGGGTAGGCATGCTCACTGTGATGAGGATTTGGTGCTGATAGTATTTTGGTTCCAACTTCACCAGTGAAATAATCCACGTTAAGAGTATCTTTTGAAGGCAT